TATTTTTATGATTAAATTTCTGAAGTTTAGCCTGAACTAGTAATTAATTACAACTAGAACTACAAATAGCGTATCATCTTCATAGTAAGCAGCTGTCAATAAAACCAGTTTAGAACTTATTAATAGGTACACGATCTAAAAAGGCAGCAGCAATAGCACAACATAAAGCTGAAATACTAGACATAATCATCGGTGTAATGGGCGAATTGGTAGCATAAATGATAGCTCCAGTCACAAAAGCGACCAAAATTTGTGCAAGATACATGCATAGTAGTAGGATAGAAATGTCAATTCCAAATTCTCGATGTTCCCAACGTGAATCCTCTTCTTCCTATTGCCACAAAGAATTGAAATTTGTATTAAGAGTGAGTAAAATACGAGTTATAATGATGTATTAGACAGAAATATGCGGAATGAAAATAATTAGAATTAATAATTAAACATATCTACTAGTATCGTATGGTAAGGCTAAAACCCGAATCCCGGCTATTATGTATAATAGCCAGGATTCAGGTTTTAGCATATACGTGTATATTGATATATAACAAAATATAGTAAATACTCATGTTATGTACGAGTAGTATAATAATGGATTAGTTATTCTAGTGATATTCTATTCTCACCTTAAAGTATTTATGATATTCGCCTAGTAAAGCATAGGAAACACTATAGTTAATAGCAAAAGAAATGCCTTGAAAGGCGGCTAACGTAATAGCAGGTGCTACAGAATCTAAAGTGGTCATGATGCCTATTGCCAATCCTACAACGGCAAAGCTGCAACTAAATGTTACAGCTGGGCCTGCAATAAATATGCAATGTAGTGTTAGTCAATGTCGATAAAGAAAATAGCAGACTATTTAAAACGAAAACAGCTACTGAACTTTGTAGAGCTACGCAATTTTTGTTTATCCTACCGAATTGAATAATAATACTTTCTATCATAAACGAATAGATGACAGAGACAAGCATATAACCAATTAATCCCCATGACGCTGTCATAACCCCTTGTATGTAAAGATGGTGCGATGTAGAATTGATGGGTGCTGTAGGATCGCCATTACTGTATTTCAACTCACATTCAAATGCAGACTGACTCAAAATTGATTTATTTTTTGGTTATGAAATCTCATTCAATCTCTTTCTCACCTTCATTAGAATTCAAATTAACATCGATTCAAAATTGATTCGTTTCTGACTCTGCAATCTCACTGAATCAATTTACTATTTCAGTTAGAATTCTAATAAAAATCGACTGGAAACGCTTTCTTTTTTGATCTGGATCCAAACAGTGCTCATTTCCCTAGTACCAGTCCATGTATGACCTATTTCTAAACGATCGAGAATAGCCTGACAGAAAAAGTCGATAGCGATCCATAGTCTACGTCGTTAGCCTTTCTATTATTCAATCTTAAATTCCAGTACGATATATGAGTATCTACTCTTTTCTACACTCTATCTGATGATCAACTTTTTGAAGGCAAAGTTTAATCTTACTACAAATAATACTTATTTTCCTACAGGAAAATACCTTTGCAATAAATAGTCTCAATACTAATTTAAGATTTCTAGTTTAATCCTAGTTCAAACTGGAGCCATTTTGAATCTCTTGCTTCAATAATCAGCTTTCTGCTACCAGTTTAGATCGTTTGTTAGCAAAAAGCGAAATGACAACGGTTTATAAATAAAATCAAAACTCACTCTACTTCTAGTTTCGATCGTTAGACACAGCGATCTAAGGCAATAACTTGCACAGATATGAAATTATGACTTACAGTCATTTGGATGCATTCTTATTCCTTTTGATGAATAGCTATTGACTGGCTATATACACTAGATGATCAAATTCAAGTGGTCTTCAATATTGCCATTATTATGTTTGTTATATGTACTGGATTAACCTTAATCAGCATGAGAGAGCCGAGTACTCGTCCCTCAAGAGGCTTAACTAATATGCAAGGAGGCAACCGCTCAAACGGTTATAGCAATAATCATACATATCAACAGCTAGAAACGGATGAAAACCAAGCGAATCGGAAAGAAAAATATCAACAAGGCGAAAGTAATTCTTCCGCAGAAAGACGAGATAATAACGAAGAGGAGGATGATGATGCAGAGAGTTATGATGAAATTACAGACCAAGATTTAAATGATTCACAGCCCATTACTTTCTTTCTCATTCTAAAATCATTCTTGACGATGCCTAAACCATTACTATTACTATGCATCACTCAATTCTTTGGTTGGTCTGCGTTTGTTAGCTATCAATTATTTTTTACTCAATATGTTGGCCAAGTTATCTATATTGATAATCACAACATTGATTTTAATTTCAACATTAATCAGACCTATTTTAAAACTGGTATCCAATTGGGTTGTTGGGCCTTGCTGTTACATTTCATCTCATATTCTATATTGGCTTTCCTGATGAAATTCATCATTAATTTGATAGATATTTCGTATTGTTTACATTCTGAGCCAGTTTACATTTGCAGTTGCTATGGTCATTATTGGTAGTGTAGCCAATACTTCCGCCGTTTTAGTTTTATCGGCACTGTCAGGATTACACTTGGCAGCTTTAATTTCTTTACCCTTTATGTTGGTCTCAAGCTATCAAAACTCTGTCAATGCTAAGGTAAATCTTTTTAATTCTCAATTCTTATTCTAACTCAGCCTTAGCGTAGTATTAGCCGTCAGCTTCCATAATTTATGTGTGCATATCATCAATTTTCACAACCGTTCCACTAGTATCGATGAAGAGTTAGTAGAAATTTTAGAAATTTCTACTTTATATATAGTTTTTAAGCTCTATCATTTTAGCTATTAATGTCTCGCCTACTTATTGCAGTCAATACAACGATCCTGACTATTTTCTCCTATGTATAC